ATTTCCTGAGTATTGGCAAATATCACATATGAGTGTTTCTGAAACTTTCTTCCTTTCTCATGATCATTCTTGTACACAAAAACTATGGATTTTTAAATTAATATTGTAAGAATAAGTTAAGAGTGTAGTTGATTGCAGCACACGGGTGAGACAAAAGAATACTTGATAGCATAGTTTTACTTCCCAATTTATTTTAATATAAAATGTGATTGTAAAAATTATTTTGAAACTCAGCTTCCAAATATTAATTAAAACTTTCAATATTACTTTCTTGAATAATTCTTTTAAAATGGAGCATAATGATACTGTTATTTTCACTGTTTTGCCTACAGTCTCAAAATTCTCTGTCGTCCATTTATTTTGTATTTCTCCATTTTATTTTATTTTCATGAGTCCAAATATTAATTAAAATTACCAGACTCTAATCCGAATTTTTAAAATACTCTGACTCTCGTAAGAGAGAAAAATAATCCTGAATGAATAAATTTCAATTTGCTGCGCTTCCTTTTCATACTGGAATTAAATTAATCTAAGTTATAAAAAACATAAAATTGATTTAAATTAAATTAAATTCTTATAAAAGCTTACACTTAAGAATTAAGTATTACGAATTACGAGAATAAAACAAATATAATATAATTGAAAAAATAAATTCGTGCAAATAAGAAAAAAATATAAACAACCTAATGTGTTAAAATAGTATGAACAAATTAAATCAAAATAAATACATAAATAAAACCAAATTATAAACTATCTAAATGTCTAGAATGATAATACTAATAAAGAAACAAGCTTCCTAGTTATTTTGGTGCTTGAAAGAAAAAACAAGGAAGATTGTTGTGTAATAAATAAACAAATGCAATATGAATTAAAAGATTTAATTCAAAATTATGAAATTAGATTGATTTTTTGTCTTTTCAATTTAAAATTCTTTATTGATTTCCAAAATATTGTTATTCAATTTAATTTAAAAATTAGAGAACTTAAAATAATTAAAAGGATGGATTACTGAATTAATATTTTTTAGGACCTTGTTCATTTTATTATGAATGACTAGGATTTAATTTGTGCTTTATTTTTTTTAGTGTATTAATGTTTTTATCCATTTTTTTATGTGAACATTTAATTTAGTGTATTAATTTTTTTTATCCAAATTCTCTGTGAATATTTAATTCAAGGATACGAAATTAGGTTGGTTTCTTTCCTTTTCAACTTAGTATTCCTCCTTGATTTCCAAAAGATTATTATTCAATTTAATTTAAGAATTAGACAACTTAAATTAATTAAAGTGATCACTTAATTAATATTTGTTTAGAATCTTGTTCATGATTAAGATTAATTTGTACTTTATTGGTTCTAGTATATATAATTAAAGTATTAATCTTTTTATCCGTCTTTTTGTTAAGCAAACAATGCTTAAATATTGAATTAATTGGATACCACTTATCAATTCATTTTAGGTTTTCTCAGTTATTCTTCTTCTGTGTATAAATGAAAAGAACTAATTAACACTTATTTTGCTCCACCATGTACAAATCAAGTGTCTACTATTTCCTCACATAAAAAAATAATGAGTTCTTATTAATTCTTAAGCATAAAAAAAAAATACTGTAATAAACAAATGAATAAAATGAACAACTTAAAAATCAGAATCCATAATTCAAAGACGTAAACCTCGGCGCCTTAGCGGGTGGTGTTACAAAATATGAAGAAAATGAGACTAGTTTTTTTCTCCTTTTACTAAAAATTAAATCAATACAATAATTTTCTACGTATAAAATTTAGAATAATTAATTTTAAATAAAAGTATTTTCAAGTTAATCTCCAACGTGAATGTTTTTAAGTGCTACTCGGTCCAATAACTAAAATATTAAAGTAAGAAAGTGTGAGAACCATTAAAACCCAACTGACTGGAAGACATGTGTCGAGGAAGAGAAGCTAGAAATAAGATAGTGGAAGGCAGGTGTGAGCAGCTTAGTGGCCGTTCGCTAATGACGGTGGGAGTAAAACTCAAAGTTTTCAAATTTTCACGCCACTTTCTGCATGCACCCTTCTTCCCCAGATTTCTGAAACTTCCATTCTCTCCTCCTCTCTACAAATCACATTCTTCTCTCTACAAATTCTTACCTCTTCTTTCATCCGATCATCATTCAGGCAGTGCCTGAGTCTTCTTGGTGTCAAGGGGTTCACTTTGCACCGATCAAGTTGTAGTTTTAAGCTGGTGAGTTCATTCTCTTCTTAGAACGTTCGTTTTCTGACACATGCAAGCCAAGTTCTGGTTGCATGAGTTTATCATCTCATTCTGAGCACATTTCTGGCCTTTTGTTTGGTTTAATTTCATAAAGCGTGACCCGTAGGATTCTAAGATTTCTGGTGGTGAGCTATTCTATACAAGCTGTGAGCGTTCAGTCACGTTAGAGGTAAGGGAAGCTTATATAATTTGATTTTATGTTAGTTTTGAATGTATGTATGTTCGTTGAATTGCTTAATTTATATGAAATATGATTGTTGATATGTTTTGACTGTATGAAGTATGAAAATTTACTATGATATGGATGTATGAAATTATGAAGATAGATGTTGAGAAATGAATTGATATAAATAATTCTTAGTATGAAATTCCATATGAAAATTTATGTTCGTCACTGAATGGTCTTTGACTGTTCGGTTTCCTCGTGGACTCGGTTGGAACTGGATTCTTTCATTTGGATGGAATTCCAGTTGAGGATCGAGCGTCTTCATTTAGTAATATTTATATATAAGCGTTCAACCAAGGATATTCGTTCCTTGGTATTATGTTATAAATTTAAGTATATCTATATGTAATTGTATAATTCGTTCGTTCTTGAACATTAGTTAAATAATATCTTATATTTATCAAGCCTTTATTCTATAAATTAAGTAGTGCTCGGTCTTACACCAAGCGCTCGTACTATGTAGTGCTCGGTCTTACACCAAGTACTCGTACTAAGTAAGTGCTAGGTCTTACACCAAGCGCTCGTTCTCCTTTCCATAATTTATCTTCAGAATAAGAGTGTTCGTCCAAACTCCATAGAGTTCGCTCTCTACCGTGCTCGATCTTCAACTGACATTTGATTTTCTTGATTTTAAACTCATAAATAAGCTAAGTATTTATAGCGTTCAGTTTCTTCATATGATTCCTTTAAGTACTACCATTTGATGTCTTACAATGTCTGTCTCCATTGGTTTCAGCCTAAATTCTTAGTACTCGGCCTAGGCTTTACGGTGTTCGGTCTAAACGTTCATGAGTCGGTTCATTAAATTGGCTCACTTTGTAAATAACATTCGCTTCTATTAGTCCTTGTGAAATATTATTGTAATTGGTCTCTTCCCAACCCCGATAGTAAATCTCCCTCGGTTTTGATCTGTTTTGGAACTGAAAACCTCTCTGTTTCACTCCAAGTGTTCGGTCTCGTTCGGGGTTAAAGATTTACGTTCGGTATTTGGTATCCTAAGGGATCTTTGTTCAAATTGGTTCAGTTGAGTTTTAATAATGAAAGATGATGTAATATTATATGGATGAAACTTCTTTGATTATGAAAGAGTATTCCGGGGAGGAATATCTCATGAATGGATATTGGAATTGGTAAAGTATGAATGTGGGCACGCTAAGCTGGCGGTTCATCCTGATATTCCGTGATTACTCGTTCTCACGTAGAGAAGGGTAAGTCGTGTATGGGAAGGGCAGGAGGTCCTAGTCCTTATGGTTAATTTGGACAGATAGGACTAACCTCGGGTGACAGCTGTTAAGGGTATCCCAGTTACTACATCACCCAGGTGCACGAACGTCGTAGCTATACATAATTCATATAGTCCAGACAATCAGAGTCTAGTATTAGGCTTTGCATGTAAAAGTGAATGAATTATCTCGTTTATTTGAATTGAGTGAAATCTATGTTGATACTTGAATTGAATTACATAAGCTTACCTTATTTTTCCTGTCTTGTCCGTTTTGCACGTTTGGTTGATGTCCTATCGCAATGATCATCCGTGTGAATGTGAGTAGAAGGAGAAGAACTGCTGGAAGAAGCGCTAGCAGAAGAAAGTTTAGTCGAGGTAGAAGTTAAGACCGAACAGTAGAACTGTTCGATCAGTAGTTAGTTTAATTGTACGATGACCGTTCGATCATCTTTTATCTTTTTCTTTTGTATGACCGTTCGGTATAGGTCTTTTGTCTTTTTAGTTATTCTGTAAGGTCGTTCGGCCATAAGCGTACGTTCTATATTTTGTAAGACTGATATGTAGTATTATTAAAATGTGATTATTCTATTATATAGTTTTATACTATATTTTTGGGATATTACATAAAGAATGAAAATAAATAAATTATTGTTATAATCTAATTTTCCCTAGGTACAAAAATACCTAAATACAAATTAAATTATTGTTATACCTAATTTAAAAAAAAAAAGTTAAAGACAAGTTGCAACAGTCAATATTTTTTTTGTTCTCCCATATTCAGCAGATATTTCATGTCAAACTTATTTTCCTATAATCATTTAGACATTCCAAGGAAAAGTCCAATCATAAATTGATATTTTTTCGCAAAAGATAGTTCTTTCCACATTAAAATATCTAATTTTTCGATCAATTAAGAAAGATATTGTGATGATAGAAATATATCTAATCTTAACAAACTACGTTCCCTCTCAATTTTAATTTTAAATAAAATCTGATCTCTATCATTCTGTTAGATCTTGGTATTTTTAATTATCCACAATAATAATTATTATAAAAATCAAATCTATAACAAAACCATGATAATATATTTGGCCTTCAAAGGGAATGTAAAACTAACAGAATCAATACAAACTTTGACGCCAATGGCAATCATTTTAACAAAATTTCACTGTCAGAAACTCTCTGAAGAAGAATTGATACCATTGTCATGGATTCCAGAGAAAAGAAATTATGAATGCATTAATTTAAAATATAATATTTTACAACTATAAAAAGTAAGTTATATATATATACATGAATTAGTCTATCATGAAAAGTAGAGATGGAGAATGAAGAAATTGGTATCTGAAACGGTGATGTTTACGTTTCAGTGCGCTCCCAAAATATACCGGGCTGTGAAATCCAGAAAAACACCGTCGCATTCCTTTATTCCATGGTCAAAATTAAGTGCATAACTCTTGGGATCATACTGGAATTTCCTTCTCTTTTCCTTCTCCTTCGCTTCACCATTACGCATCTTCAACCTCTTCGTAAACGCCTTCATCGCCTTCTTCAACTTCTTCCCCAATAGCTTCCTATGAGCTTTCGATCTTTCTTGCTCTTCACGACACAACTCATCATACCGATGTGGGGCGCAGTGTTCGTGATCGCAGTTAAGTGCATGAAGCGTTGATGAATTCTCAGCCATTCTGCAATCAATTGTTACACTCACTGATCAATCCAATTCTCATCAATGTGAATACTTGCACAGCAAAGAGAAGAGAAGAGAGAGACTGTCACTTATAAATAAGTGGAACTCTTCATGTATAACAAACACACGAGGACAGAATCGGTATTATGAAAGTTTAGAGAACCTATTATTTTTCGACACGTGGCCACCAAGAATTCGAGATTATTGCTTTCGGACGTGTTCAGTTTTTATTGAGCTGTTCTTTTCGACCGTTACAGGTGGGTTATTTGTTTTGGGCGTGTTAGCTTATAATTGTTGGGCTATGAATATTAGGCTTGGCGGCCCACCTCGGATTACAGAAGCTGGGGTTTATGAGGCGTCTGTTAATCGACAGTTACCAGCCAAACAGATCTTTATGAGTTTATCCTTTCAAGCAATATATTTAGTTTTTTTATTTTATTTTATTTTATTTATTTCATTTGGATAAGTTTGGATTCGCTCGATACTATTACACTTATACATCAATAATATTATTTATAAAAGATAAGATTTAATTACTTATATCATCATTCCTTTTCTAAAAAAATAAATTAGGTGAGAAGATTAATGTAGATCCATTAATTACTAATTTCATTTTACACCAGTATTTTTAAATTTATAAGTAAAAATAAATTTAAGAGAATGATAATATTTCACGAGAAACTTATATACTCTAATTCCTCTAAATCAATTTTAAAAGAATTAACTATGTTTGAAATAATGAGTATTATAAATTTTATAAAATACTTTTTGTTTATTAGGTGAAATCCATTTAAACAAAAATTTGATGATAGAGATAAACTATCAGATTCTATCCACTTAAGCTTTTATATTTACACCACCCCTAATTTCTATTAACACTTTCCCTCGCATCTAGACTTTTTAACCAATAATACAAATATTTTCTTTTATGTTTTATCATGGATATAATGTTTTTGAATATATTATAAGTGTTTTCGCTACTAAATTCTAAGAAATATTTAAAATATTTATTGTTTTCAATTGGATTGCTAATTAAAAAAGATAAATCTAATCCAATTAAATTAAATAGTGTTAAGTAAAAATTAAATTAATTTCGATTGAACATAGCTCTCTTAGACTGTCTATATATGAAAAACAGCTTTAGTTTTTCTGTACGTTTTTAAATCTTCATTTTAAGATCTGAAATATAAAAAAGACTTTTGGAACAAGTGTTCAAGAAAGAATTTCCAGATCTGGAAAATGTCTCTCGAAAAGATATTTATAATTTCTTTTTATATTCTGTAATAAGTGTTCTAGAAGATAATTTAATATCGTGAAATACCTCACGAAATAAAAATTCCAAAACATGTTTTTGGAAGGCATTTTCTAGATCCGGAGATGTTTTTTGAAATACTCATTTTCAAATTTCTTATATTTTGCATCCGAAAAATATCTTCTAAAATAATGATTCTAGAATATAAAAAAAAATATTTCGGAATAAATGTTCTGAAAAATATGTTTAATCCGAAAATACCTTTTAAAATACTTATTTCAAAAATTCTATTATTTTCTTTTATTAATAACCAGACAATTTCTTCCCCGTATATAAATTTTCACTCTCTTTCAAATTTTCACCTCAAATATGTGGATAAGGATTTCACTTTTAATATTGCATGACTTTGAAAAAAAAGAAAGGATTCTATATATTAATATTTTTTTAATAATATTTTGACAATAAATTATGTATCATTATTTTATTAATTTATATATTTAAAATAACAAATCACAAATTATATTGTAAAAAAATTGTGAAAGAAACTTGTTAAAATTTTTTTTTCCAAACAGAAAACAAGTAAAAGGAGAAAGATACAAGACATTTTTCGGGACAAGAAAGGAAAGGGAAGGTGAATTTAGAGTTTTTAATAATTTTTAATAAAAAAGAAAAGGAGAATATTATAACTTATGAGGGTGTAAGAAGAAAACTAAGAGGTGAAAGAAGTAGCGGATTCATGGATTAAGCCCGCAAAATGTAAAAACAATTTAATGGATTAAATCCAAAATTATCTTTATTTATACCAAATTTTGAAATAGAGTCTGTTCATTGTGAGTTAGATGAATACCCCTTTAACCATCAACTTATTTTATTATACAAAATTATCTTTATTGTATTATATTATAAGATGACAATATACGTAAATTGATTAAATTGATATATTAGAAAAAATAATAAACATAATAAAAAATAAAAGAAAAATATATATGACAGTTTTATATCAAATATTTTAAAATAACGATTATTTAAAAAATCAGTTAATAATTATACTTTTTTAAAAATAAATTAATAATTATATTATAAAGAATAAAATAAAAACAAAAATTATATAGACAAAAGAAATATCTTCTTTATATAAATATAGATTTATAATTAATTTAAAGTAATTTACTCACGAGATTTCATTATCTCAATAAAATTATTCTAAAAATTAAAATTTAATTTAACCATATATTGATAAACATTAAAATCTAGTTTTATCCAAAAAGAACCATTTCCAATTATTATAGGAAATTGAAATTCACAAGACAAGTAAAGTATGAAGTTTTTATTCATTAGAAAAATTAAAACAAAAGGGACGATTCGAACTAAAAATGGTTTCACATATAAATTTCAAATTCTTTTGTTATTTTCATATCAGAAGCACAGAGCTAGGGTGCGCGGCTAACTCCTCAACAACACTGTTCTCTCTCATTTTTCGACGAAGATAAAACTAAAGAATTTTCTTTTTAAGAGCGAAAGAGAAAGGTTGGAGACGAGAGGACGCGAGAGTCTACGGACTTGGTGGAATTACTTTTGGAAGAACAAAGTTTCCAGAGGAACAAGAAACAAAGAGCAGTTGCCGATAGAACGAGTGGGTCGCCGATAGAACGAGAAGCTAGGAAAAAAGAAAAAGAAAAAGGGACGCTTTCAGGTATGGGGATCTAATTTTGTGTGTGTTTGATGGATGCTATCTGTTAATGATTGAGTTTTCTCTTTGTGGATTATTGGTTTGTGTGAACATTCTGAATATGATTCTGTGTACTGTTTTGTGTTACATTGGATACTGTGATCGGGTGGAAATTGTATGGAGAATATGATTCTGAAATCGGTAGATTGAATACAGGTGCTGTTCATTCATTTTCATATGACTGACGTGAACTAGTTAAAAATATGATGTTTTTAATGTGGTTGTTGTTCTGATGATAAGAGAGCCTGGAATGTGGGGATTATATGAATTAGGAATTTATAATGTTGGTTTTGTCTGGAACCGTGAGTGTAAGGGGGAAAACAGCCAAGATTAGATACCATTCCTTTATTATGAAAAAATTCAATATGCTTTCTTTGCACTAGGACTTGTCCTAGTATGGTTGACCAGTTTGTCTGTAAACTCTGGTTTTTGATTCTGGATTGGAGTATTTGTTTTTCCTTGGTTCCTGTTAATATTGATTGGTCATAGTTTTGCACGTCTACAATGTCTGTTTTGACACTATTAATATGTTAATAATGTAAATGAGTTTTTAATAGAACTTAACTGTTAAAATTTTGGGAAGTCTGGTAATTTTCCAGAATCTTGTTTTGAATGAATTAAGGGGTAAGTTTTAATTTGGACAGAGGGTTTTTGATTAGTTCCAGTGAATGAAGTTTTTTTTTGAAGTGTTTAATATACAAAATATCTATTGGTTGGTTCAGTTAAATACTTTGATTAAATTGGGGGTTAATTGTACACGCTTTAAACTGGCGATTTTGTGAAGAGGAAATTAGTTGGACAGAAGTTATTTTGGAGAAAATTACGGGTTAATTAACTTGAATGAAATAAGTCTGTTGATACACTTTTGGGTGAAAACTTCAAAGAAACTTTGACAGGGTTAGAAACTGAAATGGTATGTTCAACAAGGAAAGTTGTCGGGTATGTTCAATTTTTCCTTAGCGATCTTCTTAGTTGGTTTATGGATGCTACTCTCTGCCCCTTGAGATTTTTTTTTTCAATATTTAATAGAAATACCTATCATGTTATTGTTGTCTGAGAATGGTTTTTTTCCGAATGGTAAGTTTGGTAGTGAGGATATACATACTAATTACAATGTCTGTCTTAGTTGTGTCTTGCCTTGAGGTTCAATTTGGTAGTTTCGATTTTCGATTTTAACGCATTGATGGTTAAAACTGAAATAGTTCATGCTGTTTAAATTAATTAATTGGAGTTGGGTTTTGATGTTGAAGCTGGATGGAGTATTTGTTCCAATTTCCACTGGATGCACTCCTAACATGTTTGTGTTAAAAATGAATGAAGTGAAATATCTACAATGGTCTACTATAGTTCCGGGCAGTTTTGGCGTTTTGTTGCGGCATTTATCATTGGAAGTTATTTTTGAAAAATTAAAATGGGTTAGAGGAACGTGAAAGGACTGCTTGTGTAGCACTGCTAATCAATTTAACTCGATTTGCGGAGAATTGAATGAGAGCGCCGCCCCCTTAGTCTTGATTAGAAATTAAGGAGGTGAGGAAAACTAAATGTATAATATATTATATATTAGTATGAAAATAATTCTTGTAGATGCTGTTGGTAAAACTTGTTCGCATGATTCTAATATTATGTGTATTGCTCTGCTTCTTTTTTCTGGTAGCTTTTCCTCGGTGAGTTTAAGATTCTTGTATGGTTTCTACTGATTGTTTAGAATACTTTTACTATGTAGTGAAGAGGTAGCTGTTGCAGCCAGGCACCTGCTTCCATTCCTGGTGAGCCCACAGACATCATGACTTGTGCTGAGAAAATCTCTGGCTTACAATTGTCTTGCAAGAGGTCTTCAAGAAAGTGCCAACATCATTGAGAAGCATGCTACACAGCTCTGCGTTCTAGCAGAAGATTGTGACCAACCTGGTTGTGTGAAACTGGTGAAGGCTGCAATGTTAGCATTTTGACAGTTCCAAGTGCAAAAGGCTAGAGATTTTTAACTGTGAACACTTTGGAAGAGTTCGAAAACTTAGCAAAAGAGGAGGTTTCAAAAGCAACGGTCTTGCTGTTCCCTTCTGATAGAGTATAACACAGTTGTAGTCCAAATAAGAGG